TTTGACAAGATTTACGTGTGCTGAAAGCTTTGCCACAGTACTTACATACATAGGGTTTTTCTCCAGTGTGAAGTCTTTCATGTATTTGACAAGATCCACGTCTGCTGAAAGCTTTGCCACAGTGCTTACATACATAGGGTTTCTCCCCTGTGTGAGTTCTTTCATGACGTTCAAAATGACTCTTTCCTCTGAAAACTTTACCACATTGTTTACATACATAGGGTTTTCCTCCAGTGTGAAGTCTTTCATGTACTTGACAAGATCCACGTGTGCTGAAAGCTTTGCTACAGTGCTTACATACATGAAGTTTCTCCCCTGTGTGAGTTCTTTCACAACATTCAAAATGACTCTTTCCTCTGAAAGCTTTCCCACATTGTTTACATACACTGTGTTTCCCTCCACTGCAGTTTGTTTGATGGATCTCATCACTATTGTGTATGTCTATTTGGTTTACATTCACATTAGCATGTAGAGTACAAAGGAGTATTTCTTCATATTGATTCCAACCTTCATACTGAGGGAATTTCCCTAACTCTTCATTTCTGTAAAAAAAAAGAAGTCACAATAAAAAGGGTCATCATATTAATACAAGTTGTTTTGCGGCCTGCTAAGAATGAATTAATGAATTAACTGAATGTCTTGCAAGATGCAAACAAAATCGCAATTCCCAAAACAGTGGTATTTATTTGTGAATTTTAAAGTAGGTGTATTTTGAAATACAGAAGGTTTAGCTTCATTTTCAGCATTTGGTTCATATGAGTATCACACAGTGATCATTTTGATCTTTCCCCATCACACTCCCCTTCTCTCCTTAACCTGTGTTTTTTTCCTTTAACCAGTTTGTCTTCATCATCTCTTAAAACATCAGTCTGTCCTTTCTCTATCAACTTCCCTTTACTGTACTCTCTTAATTTATATTTTAGTTTCTCACATGAGAGTTAATTCTGTCATTACTATGGGACAAAGACCCATCTATTAATTTGTTTGTTTGTTTGTTTTGGTTTTTTGTTTTTTTTTTTTTTTTTTTTCGGTACTGGGGATCAAACTCACAACCTTGCGTTTGCAGGGCAGGCACTGTGCCACTGAGCTAAATCCCCAGCCCCCCATCTATTAATTTTGGCAAATGACATGATATAATATATCTTTTTGGCTGATTATATACTACATTTTCTTTTTCTTTTCAGTGGTCCGAATGAAACCCAGGTCTTAGCACAATATCTCCAATTTTTTTATTTGTAATTTTGAGAGATTTTCAATGAAGATTAAGTTGTTCAGGCTGAAATTCAACTTGCCATTCTGCAACACTTGCTTCCCAGAGTGCTAGGTTTACAAGAATGCACAATCACACAGAGCCTATCAACAATTATCCTTATCCATGAATACAGCAATAGATATCTAAGGTGATTCATGGCTTATTGCTTATAACTTGACCATTTTTGAGTATGGGTATGTATGCATCAGTATAATATGATGATTCTGAAGCTTTTGAGAATATACCCAAAAGTATGTCTCAATCAACTTGTGGAGACATTTGTATAGTGATTATCACAGTGACTGTCATGAAAGTTCCACCAACATTCTAAGAAGGTTCAATGAGAATGAACTCAATTCCCTGGACAATGGCTTGAAAACACATATTGAAACACTATCATTAATTTGAACTTTGAATAGCTGCTTCAAGGTTAGCAACTATTGGATGTTGCATGTGTTATAACCAATATATATACATAGAGTTAATAAAGTCAATTTCCTATCAAAACTCAAAGTCTGTTCTTTTCATATACATCTATATACGATACCTGAATGTATTTTCAAACATTTTCAAGATTCAATTGTCAGATTATACACAATGAAGTTGTATACATCTTTGCAGAACACTTTTGACATTAAACTGAACTTGGTCTCATTTCTTTGGTGGTCATGTTTCTGCTCATACACAGACTTGTGAGGAACATACTTTTCCCTTGTGAGTGCAAATTACCTTGGACTTCTCCAGGAATTTTTGTGTTCTTTTTCAACTTCTTGATTATTCCCAGCTCTTCCTGAATTGTAGACATAGAAATATAAAGAATCATTACATTTATAGATAAAAATTAATACATTTCAATTAGATTCAAGCCTAAGCTATTCTTCAAAATGTTTTCACATTCTTTGTAATGAAACAGCACTGATGAGCAACAAACGATATTCTCTGTATAAATGAGAAAGAGCTGTCATCCTTACCTATGGCAGCCACGTGCCTGAAGGTTTCCCCCATCACATCTCTGTAGAGCTCCCTTTGGGATGAATTCAGCAAAGCCCACTCCTCCATGGTGAAGTTCACAGCCACATCCTCAAATGTCACTGCCTCCTAAATGATCATACATACATTTCTCAAAGGTAGGTGGAGACTCACAGCATAGAATATCTTAACTCTTCTCATAGATAACTCAATTGAAAGCCTGGTGTGGTAGTGCGTAGCTGTAATGCTAGCACTCAGGGGGCTGAAGCAGGAGGATTGCCATGAGTTCAAGACCAGTGTGGGCTCCACTGTTAGTTCAAGGCTAGCCTGAACTAAATAGAGAAAGAGCCTGTCTCAATAATACAAAACAAAATTTTTAAAAAAATGAAACAGCTAAATGAAGGCTGAATTGTTCAAATCTTAGCTCCATGTCTCGGTCATTCATTACATATGCAGCCACATTTTATTCAGACAGCAATTATGATACTAGACTGCAATTCATTCATCAGCACATTAGAAGCACTGGTTCTTTTGCTGGATCACTGCAGGGCTATCTGTGCCCTGTGTCTAAAGCAGAGCTCCCAGTGGGAGCCTACAAAACCACCATCCACAAAGCCCAGGGGCAGATGAATATCGAATGAATCACACTGACAGCCCATAGGTAAAATCTCTCTTCAAATTTCATTACTGATGTCATTGAGTCTTTCTTTCTTTGATGCACTTAAGCAGCATTCTGAAACTTGAGTTTGGTTTCATCATAAAAGAAATGTAACTGAACATCAAATATGGTATATAAACACTAACTGAAATATTCATAGAAAAAGTTTTATCAGAATAGTCTATGAGCAATGAAAACAGGCCAAGGGGGCAAACTATCTTAAAGCTCAGTGTTACCAAGAGATCACCGTCCACTCAGATATGAGAAATTCTAGGATGGTATGAGAAGAAGATGAATAAAATGTATTATATGCATTGAAAACCAATATATCACAAGATAATTAGAAAAAAGGAAATTTTCAACAAGGCATGGTGGTACATGCTTGCAACCAGAGCACTTGAGACAGTGATGCAGGAGAACTGCCTTGATTTTGAGTCCAGACTCAGTTACAAAGCTGTGTGAAATACAAACAGAGAACCTGACTCAAACACCCAGAAACAAAGTAAAGACAAGTTTGATTTGTTTAAAAGTTATAGTTACACAATATAATAAAATTCTAACAACATTTAGTACTCTCTAAGCTAGAAAGTTCATAGCTTCCATAATATAAACACGAAACATTCAAATTCCACAGGTCATGAGACAGTACCATCACTAGAGAAAATGACAAATAGATTTCAAAAATGGAACACAGAATTCAGTGAGTTGACAGGCATGTGAAATCTGGATCACTGCCAAAGCCAGTGGTACACATCTCTGAAAGAAACCACAATCACTTTAATTTATGTTTAGTGAGAAACAGGTATGTGTTTGAGAACCCAGATTATATATACCCTTCTATTCTACCTGCAACATATGTTACATATTGAAATATGAAAGATAACCTTGAATGCTTGAGAACTCATAGTGAAATAACTTCTCAAATGTGAAGTTTTTCCTCAGTAAAAAAATCAAATCACCATCAAAATTAAGTTAAACTGAAATAAATGAAAAGCAAGAGATGTAAACAAGGCAGTAATAAATGTGCACAATATAAACATTTTGTAAAGAGTAAAAATCAATGAACACAAATCTACAAAAAAAATGACTACAACATATCTAACTCAAGCAAAAAACTGAATGAAGAACAAGAACCAAATGTTTCTTAAAAATCACTAAAGAAAATGGAAGAGTGGAAGAACACAATAAGGACATAGACTTAAAGGAGAGTAGAGAAACTATTGCTATACTCTACATTTATTTCCTTTACTTTAGAGTTTCACAACACATATGGACCACTAGCTTCTTTCCAAGGAGCAGAGACTACCCTGTGCTATTATTCCCGGAGAGAGATGTGAATCTTTTCAAGTAAACTTGAAAAATCCTGCCTCCCAGGACCAACGATATGAATGAGAAAGCACTTGACTCTTGATTCACATATCATTACTTGTGAGAGAAAATAACTTTCTCAAAATAGTTCTCTTCATAAATCCATAATAATCACTTACTGAAAATTTCAAGGGAGGAAACCAAAAGAACACTTTTCATAGAAACTCACACATGGTAATCTTAGGAAAAGTCACCAAAGTGGGAGAGTGGTCATCCATGGCGCAAGACAGGATTGAGTCAGGAAGGGTATCAATCACCTGGATGCTCTCAAACAATGCCCAAGACCCAGTTTAAAATACTTTTGCACTTTCTGAATATTCCCAGGTTATTTACATTATTACTATTAAGTCTAACCAATAATTTTGAAAAGAAAGTTTATTGCAAAATATTTAACACAAAATCACCATTAAGAAAGTACACATTAATCTATATCTGTCTGCATTTATATATTTAAAAAACACACAACATTCACACGCTGGGCAGTAATAAACAAAGCACCACAGTTGCAAACAAGAAACACAAAGACTCTTAGCAACCAGTGTTCAAACTCCACATGGCCCCTCAGAAGAACATTTCAGACTGTCAGAGAAAGAAAAGATACCAGAGGTGAACAATCTCCACACATCTGAGTTATGGTCCCAGTGCTGGGCCCACCTGGACAGAAGTGGTTGTCATTTTGACACTGATAAGGGTAGACTACAAAGAAACCTATGCAAAAAGACACACTGGCCTATCAATGATTCCACAAAAAGTGAGGAAGCGCTATTAATTTGACATTATTCAAAGTTCCTCAAAAGAACGCCAGTGATCAGATCATGATATAAAAGGCCATTCTCTGCAGAGAACACACCTTGATATATCTTTGTGTGGGGTAACTATGGTCAACTTAGAACACCCAGGTGAACTGAACCAGTGTGGTTCTGGGTATAGAAGGCCCATCTCAGGTTTGCTGCCAGTGACATAAAAGGAGCACTGCAGGGGAACATGGCATGCTGTTACTGGAGAAGCTTGTTCTGCTGTTTTTCCTGAAATGAACACAGCTCTTCTCATCATCAGACGAGTTTGTGTCCTCACTGTTGCTAAAGATGGTGACTGTTCTCTCCAGGTGAATTCTGGTCGTTACCTTTAAAATCACTTCCTAGTATCAATCCATCAGCCTGGTGGCACAGACCCTCCACCCAGATGGTACAGATTTTTGAGTTTCCACCACTGACTTGTGGGCCTTCCCAGTGTAGCTCCTCGATATAGACTCACAGGAGACATTGTTGTGCACTCTAGGCCTCCAGCTGGACTCATGGAAGATACTGCGATGGGCTCTAGGTCTTCAGTGGAACTTCCGCAGAACACTGCCATGGCATACAGGCACCTTAACTAGATTCCATGGCTTAAATGCAGATGGACAGATTTTTTTTTTTTTTTGGCTTTTTGAGACATGGTTTCATTATGTAGTTCAGGCTGGCCCTCAGCTCACTTTGTAGCCCAGGCTGGCCTTGAACTCACAGCAATCTTCATGCCTCAGCCTCCTGAGTGCTGAGATTACAGGCATACACCACTATGCTCAGCATGTATAGATCTCTTTAACTTCCCTGCATTTGACACTTTTGGGTGGATATTAAAAAATAATTCTATACATAATTTGTCCTCTATTGAATCTATTACCTTAAAAACCCTGACTATAAAAATAATATACACAACAGAGCATCAAATTACATAAGGGAAAACATGCATGTGAGGAGAAATATCTTTGATTCACAACTGTCTGAGGATGTTAAAACAACTAACTCCATCACTAACTGCTAGCTGAAGAAAGAGGAAGACTCTATAATGGAACAATTAAAATTAACAGCAGCATGTTTCCTTAGGACTGACTGAATACTACATAATATTTTATCTAATAACTACATAGTACAATGTCTTCTCAAAATCAAAAGAAACATTCCATCAAATACAACATGTTTAGAGCAAAAGAGAGAATCAATTTCTGGGGGAAAATAACTGAAATATGTTATGGACAT